TTTTTTGTTTTGTTTTGTTTTTTTGTTAATTGCAAGTGACTCTACTCTAATTCTCAAGTGAAGGTTGTTACTGATGCTTGTTAAAAATGAAAACAAAAAGAAAAGAAAGACTGAATTTTGATTTTAAAAGCTGAATAATCCTAAATAATGAAAAATAAAATATGACAATATGGCATTACTGAACAGAATGGGGTGAATGTGGAAGTCAATGTAAGCCTCCCTCTGTACAGATTGAAAGCTGTCCAGTGTGTTTACAGTTATTGTCCTAGTGAAGTTATTTCTGAAAGACCCGTAATTTTACTTCTATTACAATACCAGGCGAATTAGCATCTAACCAAAAAGCTGTAAACTCGGCATGAAGCTGGTATAGTTTGATGCATAGACCTGTTAACTAAACATGTAAAGTTACCTTAAGATACTGAAAGCTGAATCCTAAATATGTACACAAATACAGCTAGTTCAGAAAAAATAAGAGAGATTTGCATGATTATTAACATTAATTTATGTGCCTTTTAGATTCAGGACCTGTGTCGCTCCCTACTCACCTGCCCAACTCCTACCTCCCCAAAGAGCCTCTGCCCAGGGCCACAGAAAGCCTGACATCGATGACCCTGCCACTACGGGGGCCCCTGGCAAACCCTTCGGGATCCCCACACCTGGGTAATATGATCCACCCTCCCATGCCTCCCAGCTGCATTATGGAGGAGCTGCAGAGGGCTTTTGCTTCCAAGAATCGACAGGAGAGGTTAGTTTTCAATTTATGGATATTCCATATTATGATTTATTTAGTCGTTACTGTGCCCTGCGACAGACTGGCGACCTGTCCAGGGTGTACCCCGCCTCTCGCCCGGAACGTTAGCTGGAGATAGGCACCAGCACCCCTCCCGACCCCACTGAGGGACAAGGGTGTTCAGAAAATGGATGGATGGATAGTCGTTACTGTTTTTTTTTTTTTTTATATTTTTTGTTTAAAAAAAGAACATAAATAAGATAGAATTGGTCCCTGATGGAAGAATGACCTTCTAGATTCATGTTCGTCCCAAAAAATTAAAAAAATATATATTTTCATAAAATATTCTTCTAGTATAGATTTCCCCCCAATCCGTAAAACCTACTATCCAGTCGGCTGCTGATTGCTAATTTATGAGACGCGTTTTAATCGTGACACTGCCTACTTTAGAAGCAGGAGGCAAAAATAAATAATTTCACAATATCAATTCTTAATGTTAAAGCTTTTAAAACTGCATCCAGGCCCCGCTAGGATGTCAAAGTAACAAAAGTTTCGACCCAAATCCCCTCTGTGTCCAGACACAGACTGGTGAAGCGATGTTTTCTTTTGGCTTCCACAAGCCTCTTGCAGTAGTTTGCTGGAATTTTGACCCATGAGCCACTCTCACTTATTGTCAGTGTTTTTCCGATCAGTTCAGTTGTATCTATATCTCTTTCGCTGTTCACAATAAAAAACCATCTGTCCTTTCGTGTTTTCCTCAGTGTCCACGACGGGTGTGAGCAGGGCTCGCCCCCAAGGCTATGGTGCTCCGACGGACGGCTGTCTCGCTCCTGCAGCTCTGACAACCAACACATGTCGTCTTTAACCGGCGGCTGCATAGGAGCCGGAGGGTCTGACTGGCCCAAGAAGGAAGCGGAGGAGAATAAGGAGAACGTACGGCTGGACCAGTGCTTCTCCAAGACCTCAGGCCTCCCCTTCGACCTAGACAGCTGGAACGAGTCCGTCATCTCTGGTGGGTCTCACACAGCCGTAGTGGGTTGCTGAAAGTGTAACCCCCAACCGTGCAGGCACTTGTGTGTTGGAGAATTCAACGTTTTTCTTTTTGAGGGTTTCATGTTTTTTAGGACATTATTTGAGTTTCGAGCATCACAATCCCATACGTCTTACTTTTTCCAGGCTTATTTTCAGAGACAGTATTCGTCTATATTATAATAATGTTGCTCACTCCACACACCACAAAAACCGTGGAGCATTTACTTCTACATTGATGATATTAGAGGAGAAAATAGAAGAACTTTAGTGAAGACTAAGAGTTCTCCCCCGCCCCCACATTAAATATACAGAAAATCTAATTAGGTAACACACACCATTATTTCATCGATAGTCAATAAAAAAAAAAAAAAAGCAATTAGGTCATGTTATAACGTTTGCTTCAATTTGATCTTTTCTTTCAGTTCTAATTTTATATTGTGGTATTTAATCTAGAAGTATTTACTGCATCCTGTGTCTAGATGCCATGGTGTTCTGCATTGTTGCATTGGTTTCTAGTTAAGCCTGTGTCTCGGCATGGCGGTGCAATGGACATGTATGGTGTTGCAGGTACACTTCCTCGCAGGCTAAGGAAGGAGCTGCTGGCCGTCAAGCTACGAAACAGGCCGAGCAAGCAGGAGCTGGAGGACAAGAATATCTTTCCGGCACGGAGTGATCAGGAGCGACAGGAAATCCGTCAGCAGATAGAGATGAAACTTGCCAAGTAAGAAGTAGAAGCTTTGCGATGCTCCTAACTATGGAGCTGTGAAACACGTGTTCTCCCTCCTGCAGATTAGGTCTGGTTTGGATTTTTTATTTTTATTTATTTTTTTTTGTCACACAGTTCAGATCATCAAACAAATTTTTAGCTTCACAAAAGAAGCCAGAACAACAAAGGTAAAAGAGGCAAAAACAACAAAAACCAATCCATGCGAGTGCGCAATCGTCAAGAGGAATACACAGGCAGAAACACATATCGATGATCGTCCAAATATTTGGAAATTATTCTGGGGACTAGTGTGACAATAGTGAGCCTGTTAGAAGGTTTGGTTCTGTTACATCTGGTGTAAAACCAACATCTGTGTGACTGTCCGAAGCTTTGCTGTAACGTTGTTGCCATGAATTCTGCTCTCTGCTAAAACAAGAGACTTGATATTTCTCTACAGGGATTTCATATATAACACTTTATGGCAATTGGTGCTTCCAAATGTGGCACAACATGTAGTGGGCATAGGGAGCAAGTATCTTTGGATAGCTATTTCCCTTAATAAATGAAATAATTGTTTCAAAACTGCATTATCTCTGCCTGACATCGAAATGTGTTTGATAAAAGTTTCAACTGTGACAGAAAAACCAAAATGGAAGCAATGTAGGGGAAATGACAAATGTTGCACAAAACGTCTAGACTAAGCACATCTTGAAGTTATCTGAAAATGACTTCTATGTAGTTGATGATGCAAGAAAGTTATAAAAATGCTGAAAACTTTGCTTATGCATAATTGCATAAATCATCTACCATTTAAAGTGTAGTTAAAATAAATAATTGGGATCTTCCAACTGTTTTTTCTTTTTTTTTTTTTTTTACCAAAGTGTTGTATCGTGCACAACCTGCCCTAAAATGAATGTTTTGTTGTATCTGCGGTACAGTTAAGTTACCTACCAACCCATAACAAGTCTAACTAAAGCTGAAAATATTCACTGCACAGGAAGTGGGGCGTCTGTCGTAGGCAATCTTCCAAATAGATGACTATCACACGTTTTTCATTACTAGAAATTCACACATGTACCGTCATTTCTTGAAACTTTCACATTACAATCAGTCTTTCTGCTGATTATTTTGGGGGCAACAAGTGCGGCAAACTCGTTCCAGGAAACGTTTCCTCCGTGAAGCTTCATTGATGTGTACGTACATTTTGTCCCTCTTTGTAAAGACATAGGTGGAATTTTCCCCCCCCCCCCCCCCCGCCCTCCCAATGCAACTGAGCCGGATAATTTTCACAGACTGACAGCAGTTATCTCATGATTGGATATATCACCACACTCAGGCTCTTTAACACCGGCGCTTCAAACCGAGACACACAAGAGCGTTATATAACGCGCTGTGAAATCATTCGCAGCCAAGCACAAAGTGCCACCCACACTTCAGAGAACAATGTCCAACGGGTGTCTAATAGGCAACTAATAACATGGCCTCTTACTCTTTTTCTTAGAAGCACTGGAAGAAACGCCTTTCTGGTCATTTAAAAAGAAGACATGATTTGAAGTGTGCAGTGCAGTGTTATAAAAACAAGTCGGATAAATCTGCGAGAAAGCAGCACAAAAGGCTATGTGTTGCTAATATAAGGAGCTATTACTGCCAAGTGTCATAATACACTGATACACTCCTTTTGTTTCATAAAAGAAATGCTTCTTTAAGACTTTTACAGAGTGATATGCTTTGAATTTGAAAAATTAACCTAAACAAGACTTCCAAATAACTTAACTTACCTTGTACTGTAAGTATGTAACTTTTTTCAGTTCTGGTTTAATACTCGAGTGCCTTTACATCTTGGCTACTTCTCAAATATTGAAGTGTAGCATTAGACCTAATGTGGCAAATATGGACATAATTTAACGATTTATATTCATTTTTGTCAGACCAAGAAGTCTAAACTCAAGGAGCTTTGAATAATACAGCTTTCTAATTCCACGTTGCTGCAAAGAAAAACTGTGGAGGATAACCTTTTCTAATTATAGCTCAGATTGGTTAACTGAAGGAGGAAAAAAACTCCCTGAGGCAGTCGTGAGAAACAAAAGAACACACTAAGCACCAATACATTTCTGCACGGCTCCAACCTCTAATTGTCTTCTTTGCCTTTGAGCTTTTGTGTGTTGCTGCAGAACAGATGATGGATGATAACACACCGTCTCTCCGTCGGTGTCAGTGATCGACGACCTTTCTATCTTTAGCTCCAGAGCTAGCATCAGCTCTGCAGCCACACTGCCATGTTGTTTCTAATCTTAGCTCCTGCTACAGTTCAATAATGCATTCCACCTTCGTGCACTGCTGCCTCCTCACAAATGTCGGGGAGTTATATCAGCAGAAATAATACCGGCGTGGGAGGAGGCAGGGCACCCTGCTACAGTACTACGAGAAAGAAGAAAGCTGAAAAAGGCACATTTTATGTTCTTGGTGCAGTTGGCAGCCTAAATTAACGACCAAACAACCGCCCACATGCAGTTTTTTTCCACTCAGTTGGTTGGATATTTAACACCTCTCTCGACTGGGGCACTTATTGATTACTTTCGCACCTCACTTAAAAGGGGAATACATCAAAAAAATGGAAACTCTAAAAGATTTTGGTGTTTTCTCTGCGTCTCGTAGAAAAATCTCTAACTTTCACTCTATAACCTGCGATGCAATCAGTGTGTCAGTTTAAACAAAACACGTGACAAAATTACCTGAGGTTTAAAAATAGTTTACTGTACCTCGAGTCAAATTTAATTAGCTGCTAAGCTGATTAAATTTAGCAACTCCGTTAGCACATTTATCTTTCCTGCCGAGGCAGAAAAAAGAAAACAGCAGCATGTTTCCAAAAATAGCTGCAGATTGTCATTTAAAGCACACGCAGCTTGGAGTGCGGTGGTGAAATCTCTCCCCCCCTCCCTCCCTGTGTTACTAGGGAGAAATGAGGACTTCTGCAGGAAAACTCCATTGTCTTCAAGATACTGTTGCTAAGCAACCCAGCGACCGGGTCAATACAGTGGATGCTCATAAGCGCTGGGGCTTCACTAGTGATTTTCCGTTTGTTGTACGTTTGGAATGTAACAGCATTCGAGGCGCTTCGCCGTGGTTTTTCTCTTCGTTTGTCAGTGAGGGGAACAAAAGAATCGTGAGCTGTAAATCATTCCCACCTGATGAGATCTTTTGATAGCAATGAAATCCAACTGATCTAATCAAAGGGGAAGCTGTAGACGAGGGAGGATAGCAATGAGTGCTCCTCCTTTTATCAGGTTTTAGGAACAAAATGGAATTCCTGCTTGAGATTTCGAAAGCGTTCTACAAACACTTGTGATTGTTGTGTTCCTGTTCTAATCACAGGAACACAGGGCATGAAGGCTGAACAAAACCTTGTACCATGTAAAGATATGTAAAGATCTCTACATGCTTATTAATTACTGAAGACATAACAGTCGACTTTCTGTTTAGCACTGAGAAGAAACTGTTCTTGGGAGAAGGGGAAGATATCAGACATCTTGCTCGGTTAATTTAAAAAAAGATGAAAATTGTATTCCAAGTTGTAGTTGAATGCCGGTCATTTTGCCCCATCCTCATGTACAAACTGGGGCCATCTACTGTGGAACATACCCATCAGGCATTAATACCCAACCTGGGAGATGTTTTCAAAATTGATGATTTTCAAAGCCAACGTTTTTTTAAGAGGTCATGATCTGTCACATTTTGGTGGATTCAACATGGCAAAATGGTAATTAGAATCAAAATGGTTGGAAATAGAGGGCAATACAAACTTTATCAAAAAAATAATTTGCAAATACTGTGAGATATTAGCAAGACTTGAGAGGGGAATATGAATTTTGAGGGGAAACATGAGAGAAGCTGGTCAGCAATTCAAAGAAAATTCGATTTACAATAAATAACCATATAAATATGCTTAATGATAATTGAGATGGCTAAAAACAATTTTGGCATGCCATGTTTTTAATAAAATGTTTAAATATGTTATAATTGTACACAGTTTTACTGTCTTCTAAGAGACGGGTGTCTTATTTACTGTCAGAGACAATGTTGGTGGTTTAATAAAAATACTTATAATCCATATCTACCAGGGTATGAATAATTTGGGTTTTTCTTTTAAGTCCCACTGAAGGCAGCCAAAGTACTACCAGAACATGCGCCACAGATTGAGAACCATGGAGACAAGATTAAGTCCTCATCTGCAGTATATGCAGACACAGATAAAAAACGACTGTTACTTTTGCGTATGCATCATGGGCGTCCAGGTTTTAGTTCATGTGACCTAACTTTGATGTTTCAGAGAACCAAACTATAAGAGTCCAGTGTTTGCCAGGGTGAGGGGATGAAGAGAGTCCTGTTGTGTAGAGGCATTCAAACTCTCTTTGTGGTTTTCACCTCTGGAGGTCTGCTGGGGTATAACCCACAGGCTGTCTGATGTTGACCTCTTTAAGATGCTCACATATATAATTCATACAAAGCCAACTCACAGACACATAGCTGAACCTTTTGATTGCTTTGATGGCGAAGGGACAACTGGAAACTAAACTTCCAGGACAACAAGTGGTTAAAGCTGCTGTATTATTTTATTTATTTATTTACAAAACAAATATTTTTATATGTTTTTAAAATAAATAACTTTCGACACATATTTAAATAAACCGACGCTACTGTTAGAGTACTACGCTGGTGCGAGTTTACTCCCTCCTGCTCGAGCGTAAAAGCGGGGGAAGCCTTAGTGGGCGGAGCTTCCAACACATTATGCATGCAGTAACCAGGGAGACTGGCGGAGTCGCGCCCCGTCCCAGCCCCATCACGACCCGCTTCAAAAAGCGCTTGTGGCTGATAGTAGAGAGAGGAGTGCCTGCGCCGCCGAGACAGAGTGGAGTTTTCCCGCCGCAGAGATGCTGCTCGCCGAAATATAAAACTTGCTTGAGGAAATTCTCTGTACGGAGATAAATCGGCGCCGTTCATCACTCTTCCAAATGTGGGGAGCCCCTCTGCCCAAGCAGCACAGCCGCGGTTTGGATGGGAGATGGAAACATAGGGGATTCCTCTCGAGAACGCGCGTCGTGAAGAAACTGCAACCTGTTTAATACGAACAGAGGGGAAGGAGGAAAGGGGCTGGAGGAGATTTGGTCAACATGGTTCAAAACGTGGTTCTGGTGTTTCTCCGCAGGAGGTTGAGCCAGAGACCGAATGTGGAGGAGCTGGAGAGTCGAAACATTTTAAAACGTGAGTCTCACCGTATTTGTTGTGGTATTTATGACTCAAGGTGTTGGAAATTAAGGAAATAAGCACACTTTATTTACAAGTATTAATTTACATGATTTTCTTTTTGCATTGAGAGCAAAATGTAAAGCTTTTTCGAATGTTTTTTTTAATTATTATTATTTTTCAGAAAGAAACGATCAAACGGAGCAGGAGGAGAGGAGGGAGATAAAACAGCGACTAAACAGAAAGGTACAACACTTTTGGTTAATTTATATATAACCGACAACATGCATAACCTTTTTATTGGGTTAAATTAATTTGACCTTTTTTTGTGTGTGGGTGGGCTTTCTCAGCTCAATCAGCGGCCAACAGTTGATGAGCTGCGGGAGAGAAAGATCCTGATCCGCTTCAGTGACTACGTGGAGGTGGCCAAAGCTCAGGACTATGACAGGAGAGCAGACAAGCCCTGGACTCGTCTCTCAGCGGCGGACAAGGTGAGTGTTTGTCAAGACAAGTGACCTTCAGGATGTACAAAAGAAATAAATAAATCAATATTTAGGTCAGGCATTACGAAATTCCCCCAAATTCCGTGACTATCACTGAGGACTACCAGCATGTTCATGTCGCTGTTATCAGCTTATCTCACAGAATCCCCCGCCCTTTTAAATGATTTATCCTGATTATATCTTTCTCCTGCTGTTCACTGATGCTCACTGGCTCAGGATGCTTTTTAGGGGATTCACTGATAATGGTCTTTTTTGCCTTTTCCCCACAGGCTGCAATCCGGAAAGAGCTGAACGAGTTCAAGAGCACAGAGATGGAAGTGCACGCCTCAAGCAAACACCTAACTAGGTTAGTATTCTGAGCCGCCTGCGTGTTAGTGTGTTTGGTAATGCATGCATGCTCTATTCTGGGCAGCAGCAGTCTATATTTAGCTCACCGTGCTCCTTACATAGAGCAGGAGACTCTATAGATAGATGGGAGTGCGTCTAAACTGGGGAGGGGAGGTTGTCCCCTGGAGAGCTAAGAGTATCAGAGAGCCAATAATGAAATGGTACAATGTCCTTGGCTGTGCTGGTCTACAAATGAAGGATCTGTGGGTTGTACCAGTGACCCAGAGAGTTTAAAAATAGCTCCTGGTTAATGGCTACACAGCCAGAATTGATGACAAAGGTACCCTCTCCCATCCTCTGCACTAACACACAGCATGTCTACCTTTTGCAGGTTCCACCGGCCGTGAAAGACTGAAGAGTTTCTTCTGTGAAGAAATGCTGAGCGTAGAAATTTCCTTAAGCTGCCTGTCGCCAGCTCAGTGGTGACACATCGAAGAGCCTGAAGCCTTTTTTTTTTTATTGTCTTCAGCGTGTCTTTAGCTTTCTTCCGACACCCCTCATATTTATCAGTATGAAGAAACGGGTGTGGGAGAAACAACGGAGGGATGTTTGCCGGCATTGCGTCCCGGAGACCACTGGGTGCGACGTGGAAGCAGGCAGGTGGAAGAGACTTCGGTGGAAACCCTCTTACTCTCAGGATGAGAGCAGAGGGAGGGGAAAAAAACAAACAAAAAAAAAACAATCCTGTCGTTCTTTTTTGTACTAATTCAAGGACTACTTTGACAAATCGGTGTGAATCCATGTAGTGGGAAGAAGTAGTGCATGTGACCACCTTTTCTTAACTGATGAATAATGTGTCACTTGGACTGTGTACAGACTGTGAAGTCGGGTGAGAATGCGTCGGGGAGGAATTTGATATTGACTGTACATACAGTATGTCAATCAGAACGGGACTGATAGTGTCTTCACTGAAAAGAGAAATACCTTTGTAAGCACTACTTCAAAACTGTCTTCAAAATACATGTTTTTTAAGAACGGGCAGTGTATTAATTTCTCAAACGATTTTATTTCCAATTAAGAATGGCTTTAACAAGAGGTTTAAAAACAATTAAATACATTTAGGATTATGTTTTTTATTACTTAAACATCTTTCACTAAAACATAAATACAGTGTTTTAAAAATATTAAAGCCATGCAGAGGCTAATGCCCTGTTTGCACCAACACCAAGGGGACTTTCTTTAGCTCTCACTGGATAGTAAAGAACATTCTTCTGAAATTTAGAAACATCTCTAACGAAACACAATGCATATTAGGAACAAGTCCAGCTCTCAAACAACTGGATGCATCCACACAAAACAAAAGAATCTGGAGTAAAAACATTGCATACTAGCACAGTAGAAACAACATCACATGTTGACAATCACATCGGTTCACAGTGTAGGGTAACCTTTGGTCACCTCCAAACCTGGATCCATCAGGGGAAAAACAAAGCATGTAGTCCTCTCTTCACACTCTGGATCTCTCCCTCGTGCTATGAGCAGCGCACAAGCGTCGGAAAAGATCATTGAGAACATGATAAATCATCTCAGACGATACTGTGTACAACACTGGATGTTAAAGTGGATATTCAGAGTCCACACATCCTTTCTAACATTTTTTGCTTTTCATTTGATTTGGACAGAATAAATGTCACACTAAAGGTGCGGAGAAAAAAACACAAAAAACGGTCTGGAATTATCCATCCTGCTCCGTGACAAAAACCTGGTGTTTAACGCAGGTGTGTGGAGTTTTTCCATTTAACTGAATGAACATGTTCTCAGAGGCAGAGCGAAAAGTAAAACATTGAAAGCCAGATTTTTAGGCTGAGGCGTCACCTGTGTTGGTGTCAACTCACCATTTCACTGAGAAGCCTGTCCTGAATCGACTTCATGTCTTTTTTTATCAGGCACATCTGAAAGCAGCAGCCAGTATAAAAAAATTTTATGGATATGAGACACAATTTGGTCTGTGAGTGAATTTATGGCATGAAGAGAAAAGAGTAAAAGTTTCTGGTACTAAAACTGATGGTTAAACAGAGATTACAGTCCTTGACAGGAAGAGGCTGAAGTGGTCTACTCTGATTTATAACTAAAGTTTCTCCTCTTGGGACTTGCACAATTATTACCAGAGAAGAAACACAATAAATCATACAATTTATACGTATGTGAAAGTCATACCTCTGATTTGAACACCCCGTCTTCATAATCCCAGTTGTGACCAGTGATACTTTGTAAGGTTTTCTTCAGTGTATCAGTTCTGGAAAGAAAATGCATACAAACAAAAACAAAAAAAAAGAATGGAAAAGACTGTTTGTGAAGATAAAAAAAAAAAAATGCAAATAACACATTTTTAATGGCAAAAATTATGGGTCGGTTGACAGAATGACTTCAAATTCAAAATTATGTATAGAAGTGAATACTTTTTAAATTGAGTAATTTATTTAAATGGGCATAATAATAAGGTCACCACACGTTTTATCAGGATTTGATGACAATTAACACACAAGCTAACAATCTCACACAACACGGCATCAAGATGGATAACTAGTTTAAATCATTAAAAACTTGAGTGCAATTCAATAATGATAACATGGTCAAATGCAATCTGTTTCCAGGTGGTGTCTAATTTTATGTGTCCAAGGAAAATACACATTTGAAATAATTATTGATCACAGAGATCCATAAATAATTGGTGAGGGTAGGGGAAAAATAATAAAAATTCATTTTCCTGTCTTTTCACTAACTGTGTCAAAACTACAAACTCCCAACCTTTTGGTCAATAGATTATTTTAAAAAAATCAATCAAAGTAAGAAGTGTCTGTCTTGACACAATCTTTTAATTTCTTAATTTTTTGCTGTATTTTTTTTAAATGTTAAATTCCTCAGAAAAAAAGTCCTTTTTGCTCAAAATCGAATTGGCAGGAGAGATAATAATAAAAAAAAAAAAAAAAAATGGACATAGGTATCTATCAGAAAAAAAGCCAGACCAATCATGATTATATAATAGAGACAAACACCTTTCTCTCATATATTATAGCAATTTGTTTTTTAATATTAAATGCATATGACTGCTATCAGCTGGCATGCTAGCAGTGTTTTTAAGGCCTATGATGTAAACATTGGGAGAACAGTGACATTGTAGCAGAAAGCACAGTGATGTGCATAAGGACACGTTGCCACACATCATAACAAAAACTTCAGAATCAAGTGTTAATTGACAAATTAGGGCACAAAAAGGACATTTCTTGGATAATAGAGTGTGCTGGTTACAGCCTGGGAAGCATAAGGCTTATAAGCCATGGTGATAAATCTGGGTGCCGGCTGGATAACAGTCAGGCGCTGAACACAGGCAAATCATCTGTAAAACCCCTATTAGTTATAGCAGTGGAAACATCTCTTCAAAAATAGCTTGTGCTGGAGGGAGACATATTTAGTTTCTGATGATAGCCCAGAGGGGGGAAATGACTTTCCAGTCAACCCCTTTAATCCTTGTTCTACTGAATAAACAAGTGTGTTGTTCAACGTTTTACAGGGTATTTTAGTCCAAGCTTGAGGAAAAAGACAACAACAACAACAACAAAAATCAATCAATGATCAGAAGAGTGTAGCTGAAGAACAATATGACTCTTTCAGCATCTACAGAGAAACACGTAAGTCTTTAATTCACCTCTTGGTTTCCTGCTTCTGGTAACCATGGAAAGTCATCATCTGTTTTTTCCAGAATATCTGCAAGAAAGAAGGGTCCAAATGATGGCTGTCATCTGTTTAAAATGAGCAATGTTAAAGTCGTTACGTTAGTTTTATGATCAAGTTTCAGGTGAAAACAAGCTTAAGTGACCCACGGTGATGTCTTTCTCCATGTTTTGCAGCATGTTGTTGTCCAGCTCCATCTTCTTGATCTCCTCCAAAAGGACCTTTTGAATTTGTTCAACTCTCTGAGCTCTGTGCAGAGCAGAAAACAAACAATAAAACAAACAAAAAAAATACATCTAAGAAGAAAAGCCTGCAGAGTTTTATCCCACAAAGCAGGAACGTTGAGGATTTGGCGCCTATAGAAGCATGCGAATATTCAATAACTGGACATTTAGAGCACTGATAAAACAAAAGCCAGACAACCATCTATGTTTTTCTTTATTAAATAGTACTGAAGGTCAAATCATTTTCAAGTCAGTTTGTGCATTTAACAAAAAGGTTAGAAATACATTAGAAAACCATAAAATCCCCCAGGACAGACCTTTTTTTGTTAAGTTGGATACCAATAGAGGAGATGTGTTGCTGGAAAGTTTTGGAAGATTGTTTGTTGTAGATTTCCATAATCTTGCAACGGTCCTGAAAACATTTATCACACGACATACAGTTGATCAAGACAAGTCAGAGAAGAGTCCATTCTTAAAGGTAGTCACTGCTTTCTAAAATAAACTCAGTTAATTGAAGACTTATAAGAATATTCATGGCTTCAGAAAGGGTCTGGGCATAAAACACAGCACAGGATATTTTCTTATTTTGTTGTGCGTGTGTGTGTGCGTGTGTATGAATGTGTGCAAGTAAACCTGGAACTTGTTTTTCAGCTCAGAGCTCAGCTGCTGACAGAGGTTATTTGGGTTCAGAGTTCTTCCTGGCAGCTCTGAATCCTCTTCCATGTCTTCAGTCTCCCACTGACTGCAGCTTATGTGGCTCATCTCATCCACCGCAGACACTTCGGCAACTGTGAGCAGAACACATCCAGACATCACTTCTAGTTTGAATCGCTTTTGTTGTTCCAACACAAACCTGCTGAACACGTCTCACTCTCTGCATAATTCTCACTGCAAAATCATATATTTTCTTTTTAGAAAGTTGCCTACACCCCAAAATAAAATGTTGGGTAAAATCATGGTGAAAACATTATTTCATCATGTACTGTAGAGTTCAAGTGTTTAAGAGAATGACAGGCCTCGTGGTTTCACCTGATCACACGCCTTTTTATGCGCAATTACTGCCAGCGGTGTTCTGGCTTTTTTTTTTTTTTTAAATGTATTTTAGCAAAAGAGCTATTTATTTTTGGGGGTGAGAATGATAAATATGGCTTACAAGACTTGAAAAGTTTTCTTGGCTTCATTCGAGGAGAACGCTGGCCTCTAATCTTGCTTTTCTTCTTCTCCTCTTCTTTCTCATCTTCCTCTGAATTACTGGATGATGAAATGCAGCGTTTGCGAGCTGGTCCTAAAAGACACGTCCACGCATCAAGCAGCCATTGTTTTTCTCTTTTTCTGCACTAATACATAGCAACGATTTATTTGTGGTGCACACATTATGCTGTTAGCAACTTAACGAACTGAAAAATAAGAACGTTTTACCTGAGACGAAATGCTGTGTCAGCTCAAGGTTCTTGTCAGTGACCGGTGTTTTCTATCAGAATCAACAGTGATGCATTAGGCACTTATTTTATGGTCATATCACAATAATCCATTTCCACTTTTTAAATTGTCCAGTCCACTCAGTAATCTACAAACATCCAAGATAGGGTTTCCTACTCAGTTAATGACAAAATTCTACACTTTTACAAATAGTCTAAACATTAAAAGTTCTCAATGTTTTACAAATTATAAAGAGTAAATATATGCTTTTTTATTTTAAGACAATGGGATAGAGGAAGAAAAATTGAAAATACAAATGCTATATTAATAAGCACCAGATCTGGAAAACTCTTAAATTAAATTTCATACATTTTCTAGACGCAGGCAAATATAATAAAACAAAGGTCAGGGTTTCCCTCAGTGTGTTATAAGCCTGGCAGGCCACCAGGCTTTACTTGTGCCCCCACCAGACTTAGCATTGTAAATTTATTAGTTGTTTTTTTTTTTACAACACTGCCTTTTTTAATCTTTTAGTCTTACAAAAATGTATAACTTTCAAATGATATTTTAAAATTTCTTGTCAACTTTAAATATTTTTTAACTCAAAAACACGGGGGGTGACTGGATGACTGCCGCAGCACCATGAGCACCAGGTTTAGC